ATTTTCTTGCTCAAAGCTAGCTCGGTGTTCTCATGTAATCCCACAGGACAGCCCGCACTATTTACTCAGCCCAGAGCTGAGAAGTACCATTGATCGTTCATTCTCCCCCACGTTCACATTCTCTCACGCCTCAAGCCCAGTCTTTGCATCTCCTTCATTTGCCACAGATCCATCTTCTGCTTTCCATCTGCAGGATGAGAACCGCTGTCAGATTTCAGACAATGGGCAAGCTTCATCGGCCTACAATATAGTTCACCAATGGTCTTTCTTCTTCCATTCTTGGCTTCCCAGATAACGAACCAACTGCACGGAGGATACCATGCAATCTTTCGGAGAAATAAAAGCCTGGTCACTTGTCCTGCTTTGAATCCTCAGGGGGCTGGTCCAACGTGTTATGGCGATGCGCAAGGTCCATACCACACAGTGGCTAAGAGAAAGCAGCCCAGAGCTGCCCAAATCCAGTCTTCACTCTTCCTCAACAACCAGCGCAGCTGCAGGAGGCATGTCTATTGGCTGGAGCTCACCATGCCTTCTCACACCTCTCCCTTCCCCACCTGTGTACTCCTCGTCCTTTAGCATGAATGGTACCCCCTCTCCACAGCCTTCCCTGAGTTCTCCAGCCAGACATAGGTCTCTCTATGTGCTCCTCAGTAACACAGAAGCCAGCTCTAATCATCACAGTGATTGGTAGCCTCCTCCTGCCATTCCTGGTGGTCTACCCTCCTACACTCAACAGACTATAAGAAATACAACGTTTAGTTGGGTTTTTGCCAGTCAATTAGAGATAAGAATCTTATGGCTGGAAACTAGTAGAACATAGTTACATGGAAATGCTTTGCTGCCTGAATTAACTCTGAAGTGGCCTCCTGTAAAGATCATTCATTCACTTATTTCATTCATTCGTTCATAGTGATAGTTTCACCCTATAGCCCTGGTATTGGCTTCAAACTTGCCATCTTCTCACACTGGCCTCCGGGGTGCCTTGATTACAAGCGTGTACCACTACGTCTGGCTTTGTTTTCTTTTTAAATATTCTTTTTCAGTTGTTTAGGATAAAATTCGCTGCCATAGTCTATGATTGCGATTCTGTTCAATATGTGCATGATGATTATGAATTTTTGTCACTAAAACCTGAATCTCTTCTTTTTGTTGTAAAACATCTGTATAATCAACCCATATAGTGGCAGTTAGCAATTTAAAAACAAGACATTTTACAGGCATGGTGGCTCATGGCTAGAATCCTAGCTATTGTGTGTGGAGGGTAGGGATGAGAAAAATAGTATTTTAAGACCAACCTAGGGCAAAATGTTAATGAGACTCCCACCTCAACCAATACAGTTAGGGGCAGTGACACACACCTATCACCACATGATTTTGCAAATAGGAGGATCATAGTCCAAGGAAGCTGCACTGTAAGCAGGAGGACTTAAGGAAAAATAATTATCACGAATATAAAGGATGAGGAATGAGGCTCAGGTGACAGAGCACCTGCTTCACAAGCCCGATAGCCTGAATTTACATCCAAGCAGATAAGCAAACAAGTAACCAATGATACCAAACAAAGGAATAAGTGATATTTCCAACTATATTTTCTGGAAATATAAGTTAAAAATTCTAACATCATTTTTTTTTGTAGTCTTGACAGTCGCTGCTTCCTCTCTGTCGGCGTCATCATTCGGAATTTTCTGGGTGGGTTTTCTTGTTTCAGTGTGCTCTCCACAATTCACATTGATGAAGGAAACTTAGGGGCAGATTGCCATGTGCGGGACCAATGGTAAAATTGTTTCCAAAATTGAACCTCGTGTTTAAAGTAGAATAAAAGCTTTTACACACAGAGTGAGGAGGACTGGAGATGAGAGATTAAAAGCACACCACAGTGAAGTGAAGAAACCAAAGTTAAAGAGTGAGAGGGGAAATACATGTGAACAGCAGGGAGTGGCAAGACATAACACAAAATAAAAAAAGAATAAAAGTGTGGAGCGACAGGTGGGCGAGCTAGAAGGCAAAATTAATGACACGAAATACAAAGTCTGCCGACAGAAAGTCCAAGTAACAGAAGAGCAAAAGAAGGCCCTCAGACATTTTGGTCGCTGGTAATTTAAGTTTCAAGGCACCTATTTGCTATCCTTTTATAGCTTCAGAGTATTTCGAATGTCTCATTAAATTTCTTAAATTTAGAATTTGGAGACTTTTTTTTACTTTGACATCAGTTTTAAGGCACAAAGAAAATGTGGTGATGTAGCAGTGTACAGCTGGTTGATGAGCACATGAGAATACTTTATAGCTCTTTGCTAATACAAGTCACAGTGACACTATTAGTTGAGCAGATAACTTGTCTCTGTCTCTGTCTCTGTCCCTCTGTCTCTCTCTTCCTGTTGCTACTAAGTTCAGCTTGAACTCAGACTTCTTGCTCTGAGGGTTTTTTTTTTTTTTCCTGGTTCTGGGCTTGAACTCAGGGAACTGTCCCTGAGCTTGTTTTGCTCAAGGCTAATGTTCTACCACTTGAGCCACAGAGCCTCTTCTGGCTTTTTTTGAGTAGTTTATTGGAAATAAGAGTCTCATGGACTTTCCTATTCGGGCTGACTTTGAACCGTCATCCTCAGATCTCAGCCGCTTGAGTTGCTAGGGTTATAGGTGTAAGTCATCAGCACCCAGCTTCTAGCTTAGTTTTTTGTTTTTTGTTTTTTTACTCAGGGCTGCCACTTGAGTCACAGCTCTACTTCCAGGATTTTGCTGGTTAATTAGCGAAAAGATCAAACCTTGACCCTCAATTCACAGATCTCAGCTTCCTGTGTAGCTAAGATGATATCTTTCTAGTCTGCTTACCTTTTTTGATATATACTTACTCATTTGGCTTTTAAAAGCCAATTAAGTAAGATTTCCATAAAAATGAAGAATAAAACACACAGCTTTCTTTTAAGTAAAATATTGCTTTAGTCTCCAATCTCCTCTCTCTTGGGAGTCAATATTCAAAAGCTCTTTCATACTTCATTTTTTTTTCATGTCCTCTTTCTGAGTCTATTAATGATTCCAGATATTTCAGAGTTTTGGCAGTCTAAGTGTGTAAAGACAGACTCTCTTAGCATAAATATTAACCTGGGATATTTAAAAAATAAATATCCCAGAGTCATTTTAATAACATGATAAGAAATATGTCCCAAAGCTTTCTGTCTCGGCACAAGATGATGATTCCAAAAGTCCACTGTAAATAACCGTGTCATCAACAAATACAGAACTCCAGAGCCAGTTTTTGTGAAAAACCATTTCCTAGCTGATTAGGTTTTGCTGCTTCTCAACCTGTAATTGATAAGAATTTGCTATGTGGAGGGCACTGCGTTCGAATGTCATGCCACGGAGACTGGGATGGAGATTTTTTTTTAAAAAATGCACAAATAATGGCCTAATAGGCGAGCTCATACTAGACATCACCAACTAACCGCTCCCGGGGGTCGTCAGGGTTCAGAGAAAGGCATCTTGTCTGGCCAGGATTAGAAATGTCATGGGAATGAGGTCACGGTGACTCTGGGATTGAGGAGCAGCTTGAAAGTAGGGAAGACCAGAGCCTCCTCCAGCCGTTGTTCTTCAGACGGGGACTCGCATTCTATTCCCTTGCCGGTGGCACTGTGAATTCACGCTGCCTGGCAGCTCTCCTTTTCCCAACTCTGCTCAAGGGCCAGCGTTCATCACCCTAACCATTTCCCGTCCTTCATAAGCTCACCCTGCCTCTCCTCGAAGTAGTAGTCTTTCTAATTGTTTGCTGTTCCTTCCCTGGGGCTCAAGGGGATGCCCTGGGCCTCTCCCCGCACCTCGGAAGGGGGCATCTCATGTGCAGGCGGGCGTCCGTGTGCGTGGCTGGCTGGAGGCTGCTGTCCTGGGCAGCGTGCGCGTGCTGCAGGCCCACAGAGGCTGCCCTGCGCGCTCAGGCCCGGGAGTCGGGGCTTAGCGCTCCTGGATCCATCCGTCAGTCCATCTGTCTGTCTGTCTGTCTGTCCATTCCCAGGAGCCGTTGGTTCCTGAAGACAGGAAGAGGGGCGCGCACAGACAACTGCATGACAAAAGCAGGGCTCCACGAGCAACCTCTGATTCTGAAAAGCCAGCTCCGGGGGGCTCTGGGTGCCCCAGGAGCGGGGCTACACCAGCTACTTCCTACAGGAAGCCCCGGGGTGGGGTCCGCCTCGGGGGACACTCCATTCCCCCCTGCCTCCCTCCCAGATCAGGGAAACACCTTTTTTTTTCTTGGAGAATATGAGAAAGCAAACAAATCCCTGGTGCTGAGCGCGGGGATTCCCCGTGCAAGGAACCCCCCATCTTTCTCCCGCCCACCTTAGCTGGGCCGAGTCCAAGGCCTCCAGAGCACCCCGCACCCCCTCTTCAAGGGGGAGGGCGTGGAGCCCCCCCTGGAGTCCGCTAACGGGGTGGCCTCCATTGGCTGTGCTGGGCACCCCCGTGCCGCCGTCACCGGGCCTTGCTGAAGTGGGGGCGCCCATTGGCTGGGGCCTTCAGCTTTGGGGGTGGGGAGAGGGGGACGCGTGGAGGGGAACGCAAAGCGGGGGGTCCCCGGGCTCCTGGGGGGGTCGCGGCCCTCGGCACCCCGCGGCGTGCGCCCCTCCACCGCCGCCGCCTGCTGGGCACTGCGCGTCCTTTCCCCCTCCTCCCCTTTTCCACCACCAAGTAACTTTTGCCCCCCCCGCCCCCCGCAGTGCCCGGACCAGAGGCGGCGCCAGCCGGGGGCGGCTCCCTGGCAGTGGGGTTCCCTGGCACGGCCAGACTTTGGTGGTTTTTTTTTTTTTTTGCTCCTGGGTTTGCTTGTGCATCGTCTCCATCGCACCCTAAAAAAAATCAAAAAGCCAGAGCCAGCCCCCTCCCCGCCCCCTCCTCCTCCAGCTCAGCTCGGGCTGGGAGCCCGCCCCCCTCGTCCTCCCCACCCCTCCCGCGGGGTCCCCCTCCCCCCGCGCGCCCCAGCCGCCGGCGCGCCGCGGCTCCCCCTGGTTGGGGAGAGGATGGTGGATCTGGAGAGCGAGGTGCCCCCGCTGCCCCCCAGGTACCGCTTCCGCGATCTGCTGCTGGGAGACCAAGGATGGCAGAACGACGACAGGTGAGGGGGACGTGGAGGGGGAGAGGGG